GCTAATGAATTTTGATGAGTCATCATCACATGAATCTTGCGAAACGACTAAACGTAGAATTAATGAGAAATCGCGAATAGGTTAGAGCTTAAAGTTCGTAAACATTACGTAGACATTTAGGCTTAGTTGTAGGCCTTTAGACCGCTACGGGTCTGTCGGAAATTGTATAAATAGGGTAGTATAATATTTATCCTCAGACTTTAACACAAAGGATTAAGAAAGGATAGAGGAGGATTGCCAAGACTACTTGAATCGTAGACTTTGACTTGAGTTGAGCCAAGAATCAAATAAATGATACTACCGAGAATTTTTGCCTGTCTTTTAGTAGGGTTTAGGGTTCCTATAGTACTTTGTGAACTAGGATTTTTGGACTCAGGGCTTTTCGGGTTTGGTCAAGGATTTGTTGAATCTTGGGATTGCCGGCCACGATCAAATTGAGATCAGGACAGGAAATCAGGGTCAGGGATCTTATAAAACCAATAAAAAAAATACGTACATAATACGGCTATGTACATATATTTAACCAATTTATTATTATTAGGCATAGCCCTCTCATACATTTTGGGCCACATTATGCATTATGCAATATGCAACGTACCTGACTACCTGTGCATAGTGCTGCATTTGACTTCGTACGTATGTACTATTCAAGCAAGTTCTGTTTAACATTGCTTTATCATATCAGAAAGCATAGTACTAATCGAGCTAGATTTATCCAGTATCTTCACAGAACGTCTAGTACGTAAATACCATAGTTATCTGTTCGAGGTCAAATCTAAGATTATCAGTAAGTAGAATCGGATAGAATCGGATGTGTCTCACCTGTACACGTATGGTGTGGGCAAGTACACGCGTTGTGCTCGTAAACACATAGCTTTCAACGCGCACGCTTGGGAATAATAAATACTTGATCTAACAAAAGCTTATCAAGGTTGGAAGGTAGGACTTTTCTAAATACTGTTTGTCGGATAAAATGTGCACTAATGAGGAGTTGAATTAACAAGCTTTCTATAATGTAAACAAAAAACGAAACCTGAAATTATGTCACAATTGGTTGTATGTAAACGTCCACGAAACCGAATATCCAATTGCAATCCAAATTTTGGTTGTAATCTAGTATTTTGACAGGCTTTGCAGGTATATACTGATTGCCCATTGATTGATACAGAAGCGTATGTGTGTAAAGTGTTAGTGAGAGGCTAGTGTTTTGGAAATACTCGGGCTGCACAGTTGCTAATAGGGGCGAAGTACAGGTATGCCTCTTTTTTTAACTTGTGTATGGTACGATACGATACTTCGTAGCCTCTACGGCTCGCGTATTGCATGGATACTGGTCATTGAAGAATCCAATGTACCCTTTACATATGCCATGCCACAAATAGCTATTCACGTAGCAGGTATGTATTTACACCCTCTAGATATGTGTCCCTACCGATAAAGTATGTGCTCACATCTATGAGACAGGTAATCACGCTTAGCAAGTGCAGATGCAATGAGTTGGTGCAATCCGATTGATGCAATCTGAAACCCTTGACCCTTTTCTGTATGCAACCAAACGAGTATGTGTATAGAGTTTGAGGGTTTCGGAGATACAGGATTTCTCAGAATGTGTATGAGTACATCAATCTAATATCACACATCAACCATCAAATCTCCCATTTTATTTCTAATTGTGGCGTCTCATCGAGTTGGAACTAACACACCCATTGATGTATGTAAACACACAATAAATTGGTATAAATTTACGCTATAAAGCTGTATACTGGGGCTATCGTCTGCTGATATGTCGTGGTTGTATATGCGTGGCAGTTGTTAGTAAATCATACAGAGATTGTTATGCTTCCATTAAGAGTGAAAATTAACCTTGAGTCTAGTCTAATTGTGACCCTTAGAAGTCAAAGAGTTCTTGTTGCACTACTTAGTTTACTTTAGCTACGCTTGATAGAATTATACTACAACTACATAACCATCTGGTTGAAGATGAGGGGTGAACAAATGGTGTATCGATCTATGCGAGGATTGGCAGTGGTATGTTATAGCTTGCGATTGCTACAAACCTGTGTCATCTACTTTCCTTCCGACATCCATTTATTTTGCCTTGATTCTTACTATTAAAGCGATCGGGCGAAGTTGTCAATCGTGAGTATCGGATTCAATACGATATTAAGGCAAAGTCACATTGTGCTACATTGAACTACCACTACTGCACGCTCAATATAGAAGATTTAACAGATAATATTACGCAACAGACACTCGTTCAAAACTTATACAATGCTGAAATTGGAAGCACTCCCTCTCTGTCTAGAGGTCTTTATAGAACAGATCGTCATATATATCTATAGCTTCTAAAATCTGATCTGATTAAAGAATTTTCGAGCAAGCACCACTACAGTTTGTGATGTACCGAACAGTGTAGTGGGGCGAGACAAGGCGTTCAATATATTGTCTGTCTTCAATTCAATTATATATGTGTGTGTGCATTCTACATATATATATATATATATATATATATATTATATATATATATATATATATATATGTATATATATTATATATATAGTATATATTATATTATATTATATAT